CAGATTTAATAGCTTAATACCATTCAGTAGACCAAAAACACATAGACATTTGCAGCACTCATATTGTTACTATATTTTTTTTAAATTCAAAGCATTTTTTTAATAATTGTTCCCACCTAAGAACAATAAAATGTGATGATCCTATTCTATTTATGTGTTCCTTTTAAAGTTAGTTATTCTGGAAACATTTAAAATAAAAAATAATATAATTTTCATCAGCATGTATTTTAATAGACACATAGATGAGCAAACATCATAAATTTCAGAGATTGCAATACAGAAACTGTTATAAACTGGCAGTATAGAAAAGCAGGAAAATTTTTTTATTCTATCTCACTGTATACTATCATAATACCAGTTATAGAGAGTAAAGATGAGATTTTCTAGAAAAACATTAACATAAAATGTGGAAAGGTCTTAATGGCTTCAAAAGCAGACTATCAAGATTTATGACAATTAATTAATGAATTCTTTCAAATATTATTTATTCAAAGAAAAATAATGAACTAATAGATTAAATTAGAGCAGTGGCAAAACAATTTCAACACACATAAATTTGAAGAGGAAGGCGTTATGTCATGAAAGCTTTCTGGAATGATGCATCTCAACTTCATTATAACTGTCAGAAATCTGAGTTCTCCACTGAAGCTCTGATGTGACTCCCTGCCATCCCATCCTGCCATCTGCACCTGTGATCATAAAACTACTGGTCGAAAGACTAATGATCTAGTCGAAATTTTCCACTTGTATAATTGTATTTCTTTATATATCCTGAGGGGGGCACCGTGGCTAGAAGAGACACAAGAGCATTCCAGTATCTTCGTCCATCTTATAATTGTATTTGGAGGAATGGTTGTGAATTTCTCTAGTATGAGTTTAAAGAAAAATAAAAAACACACAGAAAGTAGAGAAGTAAGAAGATTCAGATTTGGAGAAATGTGATAGTCTGTGTTTGTCACTCTCTGTAGAAAATTTTTCTCAAAATTTCCTAAGATCCATATATTTCTGACATCTTCAAAAGGGAAAATTTTAATCAGTTGATCATGAATAAGATTAGCCTAAGGTTAGTAGCAATTTCTTGCAGCCACTTTTCCTGTGATAAATAAGTGTCTGCTATGTTTTCCATAAACAGTGAATACAATATGGAAAGTATTTGCTTGAGGAGAAGATATTTTATTTAAATTCTCTGAACTTGATGTTGTACTAGAAAAACAAGAATGATTACAACTGTCATATTTTTCATTTGCTATAAAGTTGAATTTTTAGCATTTCCCTATTCCTTAACAATAATTTGATTTTTTAAAATCTTCCAGTAGTGTTAACTTAGTTTGTTATCTGAATACTTTTGAGGGAAGATTTGTGGCAACAAATTGGATGCAATTTTTCAGGAAGGCTTTGAGTTGAGTTGGCCTTTGTATACTGATACTGATAAAATTATAATGTTAGATGTCTTTGCATCACGTACCTGGTACTGTGCTATATACTCTCATTTATGGTGTATGTCACTTGTTTATGAAGAAAACAAATGTTTTGTTACCATTTTAAAAAATTGTAAACACTCAGACTACATTTGCAAAGTGTGATCATGTATATGTTTGTGTGACTATCTTCCAAGGTAACATTTTTCTACTCTGTTTTAATTATTTGAATGCATAATTTATCTTCCACATTAAACTATAGTCTTCTTGAATGCCATTCACCTTTGCCTCTTACTTTCTCTGCACTCAAAAGAAAATCATTAAATATCTACTCTCCAAATCAATGAATTGTTCTCTTGATCAGTTATCCAAAGTGAACATACTATTTCAAAGAAATTTAATGATGGATGATGTTTCTAAATAAATACGACATAATAACAGTGAGAACAAGAAACCTCAATGCTTTTATAAGGATAGAAAATACAAGAAATAACTATGCTCACACAGGCATGTTGCTGTATTCCTGTAATCCCAGCACTCAGGAGGCTGAGGCAGGAGGACCACAGTAAGTTCAAGGCCAGCATGGGTTACACAGAGAGTGCAAGGTCATCCTAAACTACACAGCAAGACCCTGCCTCAAAAAATAAAACAATTAAACAAGGAAACAAAAATAAATTACTATGCTTACATGAATTAAGTAGTATGAGTATGGCTACTAATTTAATAGGTTAATTTTCCGTTCAAGAGATTATTAGTGAAAGTGCCCATTTCTCTTTTATTGAATTCTCTAAGTGTAAATGTTACATAGCTACAATTTTTTTTTTACCTTACAGCTGTTTGCATGTTGTCTTTCATTACCCCTTTGATGGTGAACTTCAGACTGTTAATTTTATTCTACCATCTGCAGTCCTAATGTTACAATTTTCAAAGGTATATTTAAGAAAAGGAAAATTCTTCCACTGCAGGTAACAAAAACTATCAGTGTTAATAATAACTAACTATGGCAATATTTAAATAATGCATTTCCATTGACATTCAAAGAATAAAATCTACTAGTTAGGATGGTGTCTAGATAATATGATTTCACAACAAAGTGCTTAGACTTCTATCAAGTTAAGAATCAGTAGAACCTAGTCAACTGTAGTAGATTTAGACATGAGCCTCAATTCCTGAAAAAGCCTGTATGCTACAGATCTATTAAATTATCACAGCTGATGTAAAATCAACCTCGGTGTAAAAGATGAAAGGGTAAAGTTCTCACAAATGATCTCTTATCACTCCACTCCAAAATGCATACAGCATTCTTTATAGATTGAAATGCCACTCAACTTTCATCATTTAGTGTGGTTTTTGGAACAGTCAAATCATTGAGAGAGAGAGAGAGAGAGAGAGAGAGAGAGAGAGAGAGAGAGAGTAGCTTTTATATTTATACAACCAATGACTAATGAAACATTATATTCAATGTGCTAAGGGGAAAAAGAACTTTAGTTTGTAATGAAGCCAATTGGACCCCTTTTTAAACACAGTGTAATATGGTTTCACTGTTTCATCGAGCCTCTCATTACTTGTGTCAATAATCCTAGGTAAACTACTGTTGAACTCCACTGCATTTATCTAGCAGCATGAATAGCATTAATCTATGGGGTGCTTTTGATGAATTGGAGTTCAGAAAGCAAAGCCAAAAATGACTTCTTACAAAGTGCTTAGAGAAGTACTTATTAGAAATATGTCAACTGCCACCTACCTAAAAGTAGCTTGGCTATTTAGGAAGCCATGCTGTTGACTAGCTTGCAAACATTGAGAAAGTATATAAATTTTCTCCACTGGATTTACTTTAAAAAAAAGTGACATACTTTTCATCTGAGTATATTATTTCTTCTGTCACTTCCTTTCTAATTCTCTATATTTTTTATATTGTATTGCTTTCAGTGCAATGTGACATGCTATAAAACATGCCCCTAGGTTGTCAGAGAATGCTAGGCGAGAGAAACTCAAAGAATTTAGAGCGACTCAGACAGACTAATGTGGCTGCATGTTCTAAACATTGAGATGGCCTAAAGAGGAAGCTATGCTTGGCTCATGTCATAAATAGTGAATTTGTCATCTTGACGTAACCAGTGGTTATTACATCCTCTCTGGCAGGAAGGGTGGCAAGGTTTGTCTACACAGGTTTACACAGTAACTCCAATTTATCATTCTAATTCCATTAGGTTAATCTTTTCCAAAGTTGAACTTTGTACCATTCCTGAGATAATAGAATTTAAACTCCATTCTGTTTTCCAGATGTTTATATGTGAACAGAATTCCCTGATTGTCCTCATATGCCTATCATAGAAATGTCACATTAAAAATTTAAACATTTTGTAAAACTAATCCAAACATAATAGTATTATATCATTATTTCATATTTTCTCTAATATTTGGTGCATCATAGCAAAATAAAGACCTCGAAAAATATATGTCAGATTAATTTTTCATTTGTGAAGATTTAGGATCAACTCCCTCCATCCCAACCCCTTTTTTTTATTTTTGGTACTGGAGATCGAATTTGGGACCTTACACTTGCGAGGCAGGTGGCAGCACCACTGAGCTAAATCCCCGGACCATCTCCCCAATTTTTTAGAAAACTGTAAAAATAATCCATGACTCTTATTATATGCTATCAAATTCATGGGAAACATATCAAATAAATGCATTCTTTTCAGAAATTCCAAGATCCACTAGATTTATTACAGCACTTTGTTTTATACAATACTACCTATACATTTTTAGTAATACATACAATAAATAATACTCAGAAAAATTTTTCTCTGTGAACTATGTGAGGGAATTGTTATATTTTCTCAGTTTCTCTTTCTCTTGGAGATTCATAGTGTAACCTCATATATAAATGATGAGAAAAACTGCATTTAAAAATCCTGTCTGATTTTATTTATTGCAGTATTTATCAATCTCATACACAGTCAGCTTCTAACTATACCGTGAATAACTACTGTGGGTTTTGGAGGTTGACACAAATGGTGATTCTTTTCACTCATGGATATTTTATTATAATCAAAAAAGTTATAAAATAAATGCTGTCAAGAAAAATATATACAGAAATTTCAAGTTATTATCTATGAGATATTAATCATTAACATTTTATATATAACTCTGCCTTTGCTATCTTCAATGACAAACTAGCTTTTTTGTACTCAGAGAATAAAATATATTTTTATAATACAATTGAAATTAGCTTAAGGGTAATAGTTTTCATGATTCTAGATTATGACTAAAATATTTACTAATAAAATTTGAAGACAATTATTAATATAATTTACAAAGCAACACCAAATATTAAATAAATTAAACTAATTAAATAAGGAGCTTTTTGCAAAAGATTTTGTATGATCTGATTTTATTTTATTACTATGTTTTGGATCACACTAAAAGAAAATTTTGGAGATATATTCTGAGACATCTTTCCAAAAGAAATGAAAAACCCTATTAATTTTGTTTATTATTCTAAAGATTTTGACAAATTTCAATCACCTCCCAGGTCTTCCATCCTTTCCCATGTGATATTTCCCAAAAGGTACTCACCGTGTACAATGAGGACATACTCTGCGCTGCTTTGGCCGATGGTGTTTGTGGCTTCACATCGATATGTACCATTGTCAGTTTTGTTCAGGAAGAGAATGTTCAACTCCCTGCCGCTCACAACCATTCGATCAGGATCTGGTAATTCTCCACCATCCTTTGTCCACAGAACAGGTTCTGGCCTATTGGATTCAAACATGCACATAGATAAGAAAATATAAATATATATTTTGAGAATTAAAAGAATCAGGCAAGTTATGAACATGCATTAACCATGATATATTTTGAGAATTAAAAGAATCAGGAAAATTATGAACATGCATTAACCATGTTTTGCATAACTATAGGCTAACTTTTGAAAGTCACAAAAGGACTAGCCTCTACTCACTCAAAAGATCTGGAGATGGCAAATGCAATTTAATTTTTGAAAACTTCCATACATGCTTGCAGCACATAATGATTACATTCATCATGGGAAATTGATATATGTGCATAATACATGTGAATACTTTTTACTTCCCTTTTCTTTCCCCGCTCTCCTGTGTCCCTGCATCTAAAATAGATATTATTTTAAGAAACTAATGTGCAGCAGCCACTGCTGGGGCCCTGCCTGGGTCAGGAGCCCAGATTCTTGCTCCTAATGGCTTCCATCTTACATTGCAGGACTCATGCCTGGTCTACTGTATCACGTCTTTCTTACAAGTAAATAGAAATTAGTTTTGGACTCAGAGCCACCATTATGGCACAGCTTATCCTGAAACTACCTGACACTTCTCCTATACCTTCCTTCTCTCACTTTTTGCATTCACCAGTAGGATGTTTTTGAAATTTTCCTTTCATAAAATACAAACATGCACTGCATAGTAACATTTTAGCCAGTGATGGATCACATATACAACAGGCAATGGGGCCATATAAAATTATAATGTTTAGTGATGACATGGCTACCTGAGAATGTAGAGGGACACTGTGATGTTCACACAACAAAGACATTGTCTAGGCTCATGTCTCCAAAACTGGCACCATGCTTAAGTGACATAAGGCTACACTTGCACTAAAGCTCTCCACCTCCTTAACTGTTTTTAGAGTAGTAAAGATAAATAAACCATAGATTCTTGTCTCCAAAGCTTTAAGATTTCTATAATTATTAATGATAAGAATGGTTATTAATATTTAAAATGTGCTTATGATAGTAGTTATCATAGGTTCTTTGTATATATTTCTATAATTCTCAAAAAAATGCATTTCTATGACTATGATTTACTTACTGCATATAAAAATATAGAAAGTCAGAGAGGAGCATAAACCCTGACAAAACTCTGCAGTCAATGCTTCATCTGCTACCTGCTATTTCCCAATGTGACGAATTTTTTTGTCTTTTTAGGCAAAGATTTTCTAATTTAAACTTAGTTTTTTAAATAGTCAGAAAACTTTCTAAAAATCTTTGTTTAATTACCCCCAAAATGTTTATCTGTATTCTGCTATTGTGACTACCATGAAGACAGAGTTGTTGATACGTGATGTCTACAACTAGGAGAAAAATATACATTTTCTGGAAAAAAAACTGTAAAGGGAACAAAACTTGTGAGTGAAATATAATAACCCTGGAAAACTGTTCAAGTAAGTGGATTAGAGATATGCTAAAGGAATTGCTATTCAAGTATTTAGATATTAAAAATGTGGATAGTATAATATTTTGATGTAAAGAATATATATTTTCTTCCTATCCCTAGTTCCTGCCACAATGCTTCTGAACTTCTTGAAGATAGGAGTTCTAGGAGAATATTTCATTCAAATACTTGGTATTTATCTCAGTTCTTTACAGAGCAACTGAATCTCTTGGGATTTCCTGGGTGTTGAGAACAGTTTTTGCTCTAATGATGCGCTCCTATGAGATGTTTTACTGAGGTACACTTGGTGAGCACCTACGTAGTTTCAGAATAGGGGCTACATAATCAAAGGGCTGAAATTTTCAGTTCCACCTGCCTGTGAGACTCAGAATGGGAGAGGGGCTGAAAGTTGAGATAATTGCCAATGTCCAGTGAGCTAATCCATAAGTTCTCTGTAGTGATACTTTCCTGAAAACCTGAAAGGCAGGACTAATAGAGGCTTTGCATTACTCATCATTTCATTGGGAGGTCCCAGGATGTCAGACTTCCAGAAGGCATGGAAACTCACAGCCCTTTTTATATGCTCTAGCTTGGTCATCTCATTTCATGTGTATCCTCTGTAATATCCTATGTAACAGTTGGGTAACTGTAATAATAGGGTTTCCCTGAGTTCTGGGAGTCAGTCATCTGGTAATTATTTAAACCCAAGAAGGAAGTGATGGAAACCTGCGTTAGGAGCTGGTAGATGAGAAACACCATTGACTTACAGTTGGCCTCTGAAGTGGAAACAGTGTCTAAGGCTGGACCCTGGGTGATTGGACATGATGTTTAGGTAGACAGTATCAAGATTTAATTGAATTTTATGCCACTCAACTGCTGTTCTTGGATGAATTGATTGTTGATGAAAAAATTGCTACATATATTTTGGCAATCAGGGTAAAGTGTGTGTGTGTATGTGTGTGTGTGTGTGTGTGTGTGTGTGTGTGTTTTAGTACATTTGCAGTACACAATGTCTACACTCCTTGTGTTGAGTTCATGCATACACAAAACACATCTCAATTCCCATTTTCATCCCCTACACCTACCCTTGCTCCCTGCTCCCTTCATCTCTCATTCCCCTCCCGCTTGGGAAGCTCCATCTCCCTATTTCCAATTCTTCATATGTTTGCTCTTTATTTATAATTTAGGCATTTTGCACAAGAGAAACCATTGAATATTTAAGCTTGTGTATGATCCTTCTTACAAGTGACCCAAGTCTATCTGTCCTTACTTAAGGCAGAGCTACACTTCCCTGTGTGTAAACACCACACTCTCAGCATCCTGTCATCCACTGATGAACACACAGGCTGCCTCTAAGACAGCTATCATGAATTGTGCTGCTGTAAACATGGGGATGAATGCATTAATTGTTGTCTTGTATTACTAAAAACAATAAAATGTTTACTTTTTCCCCCTCTTTACAGAGGGAAAAAGAGCAAAGAAGGGAGGACAATTTCTAAATTTAGTGAAATTTCTAAAAAATAATTATATAATTTAAAAGCGAAGAAACCACATGCATTCATTAAAAAAATATAATCTATATCATTTCAATTATATTGACAATTCATTTTCATACTGTCTTTTACAAAAGCCAAACAATTAATACTTTACAACTTGCCTCATATAACCTAATGATGCTAATTTTTATTTGAATTCACTAGCTCATGCTTTAAAATAGACTATGCTTTGTAGCATAACTGAAAATTGTTAAAGTTTTGTCCTTTTTATAAAACCACATCAGATCAGTGATAAAATAAAAATTATGTTATATATAAATTGAATTTTAGAACAGTCATTTATAATTCTGCTAAAAATGCAATTTTTTATTAAGATACAATGTTTTGTTGAAGTTAGAATTTTTAAATACACAGAGACATAATTATAAACATGTCTATATGTTTTCATATACACAAAGCTAACAATCCAAACCCAACCTATCATGATTTGTCTCTACTTGAGTTCACAAGCTGACACTTGCAAATAAAGTACATGGCTCTGTACATATGTGACTAAATATAGATAAGTATATTTAACTGTGTAGAAACATACAGTTCTAAATAAATTAATTTGTCAGTCTGTTTTTAACTTTTTTTTCCTAAAAAAACAAAGAAATAAAAAAACCAAAACCTGCCTGAAAGGGAGAAAAGACTGAAAAGGTGACTGACAAGAAGATGCCATGGTGTAAATCTCTGCAGACAATGAATTGCATCTTCCAAGGATTTTGGATTCTATTCTGTGTGGTAAATGTTAAGGTGGCTCAAGAGTTAGAAAAATATGATGCAGTGTTAGTGGAATGGAAGTTAGAGTTTATGCATAGATTATGAATAGCCTATATGTATTCCCAACCTGTATTTAAAATGCTCAGGTTTCTTCATATCACCATAAAAATATTAAGCATGTCTTGATACAATTTCTGTTTCATCTTAATGAAGAGTGCCCCTAGGCTTTTTCTAATTGAAATCCTGAAATGATTAAGTTTCTGGCTTCAAATGAATAACAATCTTCCCTGCTGTTCAGCATCCAAAAGAGATCATTTTTAAAGTGGTTCCAGTCTACAGTTTTTATATGATAAGGCTGAAAATGCATAGAAACTGGAAAGCAGAAGTAAAAGTACAGTAAGAGCAGCATTAAGAATGAAAAGATAACCTATAATTCTACGATGAAATCATCAATGTAGTGTAACAGAAAGACCCCCTTTTAAAGTCCCCCAAAATTAGGAGTTGGACATCTGTATGAGATGAAATTTGAATTTGTATGTACCTAAAAAGATTTTTGCAAGTTACTTCCTAAAGGAACAGAAAACAAGGAAATAAAAGTAAAAAGAGAAACCAATATGCTTATACATTTATTCTCATATATTCTAGGCCATTGGTGAAGTAGTTTTCCATCTTTACAGATACTTAAATATATTCACATCAGTGTGTTCTGTTAATATCTAGTACATGTTTCAATATCTCTCACAACAATAAATTAATATATGAAGGAATTACTACAAGTTTCTTCGATTGCTAGTTTATTTAATATCTTGAACCAGATTAAAAATCAAACTCAATCACTAATTTCAACCTGAACTATTTTATTTGCCTTTAGCGTATTTCTTCTGGAGATTATTCCATAGTACCAGTTCTAATCTTTCCACCTATATTTGAGATCATTCAATCTATAGGACCTGATGAGAATTAAATCTTGCCTTTCCTAGCTCTGATTCCCTCTTTTAGGCTCATTCTGGGGGAGAAGAATAAAGAACAAATAATTTAGTCATGGAAATTTAGTTATATAATTCTTGTCTCCTGAGAAAAGAATCATGCTGTTGTTCCTGCAGATGGATAGACGTGCACAACCATGGAAACTTGGAAACATGCTCCAGTCTTGCTCTTTTCCCAAGTGGCAACATCCTTACTTATTTCTCTAATTTTCCCTCCTATACACATAATATGCTGCGCTCTAACATGAAAATTAGTCTTATAAAAATTAAATTTACTTTTCTAGATGAAGTAAAAAATAAGTTATTGCTATAATAGCCAAAGTAACAT